CAACAAAATATTTAACGACAAATTTTAATTTTAATTAAACAGATTATAACACGTCCTTGGGAAGTCTAACTAGCTGTTATTATGAGCGAAATTTAAACAAGACAGAAACTCACGGAGCGTCAAAATAATTGGTAAAATTTTACCAATTTGCTGCATTCTTGTAGAAAGCTAACGTCATTATTCTGGTTTTCTAAATGATAATGCTAATTTCTTCTTCTTCCGTTGTTTTCCCGAGTTATATAGTGTATAATTGTATATGCCAACATTTTTTTTTATGTTTCACATATAAGCTGTGAAAATTAATCATTCAGTCAAGTCTGCCTTAGGATTCACGTGTCGTTTCTTTCAAGATAACAAAAGTAAAAAATACGATACACAAATCTGTCTATCCTAACTTAAACAGAACATTCTTCATTTATTTCATAACTTAAACAGACTAACAAAATCTAACTCAATACAAATTTGAAAAACTACAGTAATAATATAAAAATTGTTTATCATATTCGTCTATTTGGGATCTGTCCTTCCTAAATATTAGGCTAGTAACCTAATTAGCTAACGAAACTGGAGCGTGCGTGAACGACAATATAACAGTACTTGGGTACGTCACCTGGTATAATTAGCTGAGTGTTACCAACAAAAGTGATAAAACAAGACTGTTTATACAGTCTGGCTTCACTGTCGTTTATATTTTAAATAGGTGCCCTAGAGGTATATCTTTTGCCTTATGGAACCTTTTCACTGTTAATTTGTTAATTCACTTTTCTGTGTATTTTCTTGAGGGGGAAATTAATTCATTGACTTCTGCCACCTTGCGTGAGGCGAGATGGAGTGTCAAACTTCTACTGACTAAAAACCACCCTGTTCCTACTCTTGCTTTGAGCCGTGGTAACCCGTTAGGCCATCCACAAGTTCAGTTATTGTAAATTGTTTAATATATGTTGTTTTCATAGTCTTTGTCCTTGTCTTATCTTTGTATTATACTCTTAGTCATAATTACTTCCTTCAATTGCTTTTATCAAACAGTCTAATATAGTTTCTGTTTAGATGGTTTTAAGACTAAAAGCGGTAAATCATTTCTAGGTACGTTTTATTAGGTAACATGGTACCTTAACTTTCAGCAACATCTATAGACACAGGGTTTAATTATGTAAACTACATACTCCATAACACATATTGTAGCAAGCAAGGCCCTAGGAAACAGGGTTTTCGAAATCCGACGAGTCCATTATTTTTTATTTCCAAGAATCTAACCAAGCCTGCTAATTCCTCTAAATTTAATGAAGGTTTCTGAACTAAATTCGGAATTTTAATCATCAAACTTAAACAGAATTTATATAGAGTTTAAAACAGGGGTCTGATCTCCGTTCCCTTAATTTGACCTTAGAATAACTAAGAAGGAATATAATTAAGTAACTTATTGACGTTTCGTAACGGTTTGGTTAAGATCCTTTTGAATGGCTAATCTACTATTTAACTACAGACTAGGTTAAACACCATTTTGTTAAATTCGACTAGCTTGTTTTCTTAGTAATTGCAGAACTTCAAATTCCAGTTAAATTATCGTCAAAATGCGTTCCAGTGTAATCAGTGGAACATAATTATATGATGAACATAAGATTTCGTGTTCATGTGAGGAATCTTCCATCATGGTTTGTATCTGATGATTAAGTGCCTCGGCACGAAAAGGCCAGCTCAATCGGAGTGATACCACAGCCTCACAGAAGACCGACGTAAAACAACGCTTGCGTTGTTTTTCGTCCTGTGAGTGAGGTTATCGGAGGCCCAATTACCCCTCCCCCTTTCCCAATCCCTGAATCCCCAAAAATCGTCAAATTCCTAATCCCAAGGTAACGCACTTGTATCGCGTCTGGTGTTCCAGGTGTCCATCGGCGGCGCCGTTTGCTTACCATCAGGTGATCCGCCTGCTCGTAAACCGGCTTGTCCCATAAAAAAGACACCCTATATAATGTTAAAAAACTATGTTGTGTCACATCGCGCTATACTTTACTTAACATGTGATCTGTATCAGTTGTTGAAATTCTAAGACAGCTAATTCTCTGCTCATTATCCTGTTCTTCGACAAATCCTCCACAACCTCCCAAAACTACTACAACTCCTGTAAGCCAGGATCTATACGATCATAAATATAAACACCAGAAAACTGTAGTCCAGAGCGTCCAAGGAACAAAAAAAAACGATGGTTTATAAATAAGCATTTTCATTTATAATCTGTAATTAGAGAACAAAGTTCCGCATATAGTCATAAACGACACAATCCCAATAGCTTACCTCGTTTGAAACACCAAACCGCACTACAAATAAACATAATAACGGAACGGCATTGGGATTTGGAAAGCAAACAAAATACACAATATGTCATCAAACAAGACGAGTATTCCCCTAAGCGTAACGATGTACCTCTAACATCTGAGATAAACACATCTAGTTTAAAGCCAAAATCCGATACGAATTCGCGTTTTCTGAATGCAAATATTGATTGTGGTTAAGCATTGGAAACCTTTAATATTGAAGTCGAAGTAGTTACTTCCAATAATCATGAATAAGATAAAAAATATTAAGATGACATGTTTAATATCAGGCCTATTAATAATCCCCTTCCGAATGGTGAAGGAGTAATTATTAGATAAGAAATACGTGATATTTTTGAAAAATGTTCAAAAATTACCGTTGTACTTTCTCGACCTGGGAATTGAAATTGATGTTTACTTGGAAATTGTGCCTACTAACACTTCATCAGCAAGGCAGTTAGTTACCTCTCGTTCTTCGTCGAATAGGGAATTACTTAGGGTCACACCATTGGACTAGAAAAAAAACGCCTTCCTACGTTGGCGCCATTTGGTGAGCAAAAAAACGTTAGCTCTCATTATGTATTAACTTAGGTGGTAGAAAAATGTATTAACACTACAGACTGTATCAGTTTAAACTTCAAAGGGTGATGAACAGAAAAGAAGCTATTAGATATCAAATTGCAATCCATATTCCGTTTGTCATTCGTTGGGACATTCTATTTTTTCTTATCACTATCCCTTTCACTCTTTATTACTATCTCATCTGTTGGGAATAATACTCATTTATCACATAAACGTTTCCTAATCTTGTCTCAATGTCGGTTCTCCTCGAGTATTTTTGGAAAGTCTAATTTGTCTTCGTCTTTTTAACAAACAATTATTCCAATTTCCTCTGCTTTGTTGATCAAGTGGTTGCAACGATTTTCACACAAAAATGAAGTCTATTTTCGGGCTATATCTCTTTTTGAGTAAAGTATTATACATTTCTTTAATTTTTGAACTTGAAACTTTAGCTTTAAAACTACTCGGTTGATGACAATGGATTCACACTCTTAATGACACCAGACCTCATAGATAATGAGATGAGAGATTTTCAATATGTGTTTTTATTGTTAAAAACCAATGAAAAATAAAGCACATCAAGTTATCAGTAACTTGATGTGCCTTATTTTTCATTAGTTAATTAGTTAGACCTCAGGGTCAATTAATTCAATCCATAATTATGAATAAATATATACTACTTAAAATTATTCTAAATACCTGTAGAATCGTCAGAAAGTTCACGCAAATAGAAGACAATGAGACCAACCACCACATTATATCCACAAACACATAAGACTACTCACCACACCCTGTATTTACTTGGACTCGGCCCGTAAATATAGGTATATAAAACTAGCTAGACAGCTAAGAAGAAAGTTTACATTTCGGAAATAATAATAAAAACGTTACCTCAAGGCAATAAAAATTATCATTACTTTTTAACTTCCAAAATAACAGTTTTAAATTAGGACATTTTCTTTTGTTCCAGATTTCGTCCACCGTCATTTGAAGAAAAAGCTTCAGAAGATACGATAATAGACGCAGACACTGGTTCAACCGTTATATTTGACTGTAAAGTGACTGCACTTAGGGATAAAACAGTAAGCAATATTTTTATACTAGATCTAAGTATGTGAGATAAGTTAATCGAACATTGTGACGTACAAAGTTTATAGTCTTGGGATTACCTAAACATAGCATTATGATTGTAATATATAATTGTACGTTATGCATAAATATTTTATGGTGATTAGTGAACTGAGAATATAATTATAATTTCTTTCCAGGTGTCTTGGATAAGAGTATCAGAAGATGAAAACTTGGAACTTCTAACAGTAGATCTGGATACGCACACGTCTGATTTTAGGTAAATATTAATAATAAACCTCATATTTTTTACAAGCTTTACACAATACTCCTTACTGCCCGCTTAAAGGTCTTTAGTTTGTACTTAAGGTTTACGAAGGTAAGAGTCAATCGTGGTAGTGTCTTTTTATGTTTACTGATTTGCTTTACTTCGTTGTAGCTTGGAGGTTTAAGACGCGCCTCACACGCATGAGAGTTCGAAACCTACCAACGGCACCTACTAGTATGACTTGTTCCGAGTTATATGTACTTTCTAAGATTATCTAGATACTACTGACGAACGGTGAAGGAAAATATCGCGAGGAAACCTCGGCTGCTAAAACCTTCTCTGTGCGAGAAGAGGCCGATAATGATGAATAAATATTTGCTGATTCCTTTATGTTTTCACATCGGTATATTTTTAAGTTAGTCAAGAGATTCCGAACTAACTTTCTATTTCGAAATCGTTCTTCTATTCAATGTCAATAACTGAGCCTGCTGACTTTTCCACTTTGACCTCACAACGCCAGCTTTAACCTCTATTATAAGGAAATATAATCTTCATTATTCCAGCGTCGGATCATATTATACCAAATGAACGAAGCCATTCGCGAAGATTATGTTCCTTATATTACAATTTTGAGATTATTAAATTAGATTAGGTATGTTTAATATAAAGAAGACGTATTTTCTAATTTCTGTTTACATGTGTGTGGTAGTCGTTATTCGCGTAGTAGTAGTATTGAGATCAACCCATTTATAAATTCCTTTAAATTTGAATATGAGATTTTGAGGACTTTGAAAAACCCACTACATGCCAAGTATTTTAATGTTAAAATGTTGGTTATGTTTATAACTTTAGTTATCATTTTCCTTAAACAGCTTTTGTGGTAGCTGTAGTAATAATTTAGAGATGGTGTTATTCATTTTAATGCTGCATTCGCATCGGATATATTTGTATATTCCTTGTTGCTACCGATAATTTGTGTTATTTTGATTTAATCAAAATCACACAAATTTTGCAAATGTCATAGTTTCTTTGTTTACATGTTTGTTCGTCAATCACGCTTGAACTATAGAACAAATTGAATAAGGTATTGACTGACTTAGATGATAGGACTTTTTATACCGATTAATTATTGACATGGGTTAAAACAGGAATCATGTTCTACGCGAATGAACTCGCGGGCAATAGCTAGTTCCAAATAATATTTTGTCTAGATTATAATCTGACCTACATAATCAGACCAACGAACAAGTCAACAACAACAAGTTGTACATTTTTGTCTACATTTTTATTTAACAACAACATATATTTTGTAATGAGCACCTAGATTCCTAGATAGGCCTTTTTAGTACATCCACCCTTAGGCAATTAGTGCGTCCCACAAACATACATAATGGAAACTGCCTATTAGTGTACACCACAAACCAATTATAATTATATTAATATGAAACCTGAGACCTTATATTTAGTACCTACAACTGGATCAATGAGGTTTCCAATTTTGTCAAGCGGAAGGGGGAATATTTAGATACAAATTGATATGGCATGAGTCAACATACGACTAATTGGTGACTCTCAAACCACATTTTGACTTATTTATTTATAGTAAACGTGGAATTAACATAACATAATATGAAATCACGAATTTTATCTCTGAAGGGGTAGGCAGAGGCGCATATTACGACTGCACGGTTGGTGCGGTAGCTGGGCAACCGGCTGCCGCGCAACGTGTCGCGGGTTCGATTCCCGCACGGAACAACACTTTGTGTGATCCACAAATTGTTGTTTCGGGTCTGGGTGTCATTGTGTATGTAAACTTGTATGTTTGTAAACGCACCCACGACACAGGAGAAAATCCTAGTATGGGGCAACGTTTTTATAATAAAAAAATATATATATATATTACGGCACTTAATGCAAGCCACTACACAATATAACACCCCACTTATCACTATTTATGTTATGAGTCCCATGTAATAAAGGATGAGCCTATTGCCGTAAACCTAGACTTCTGGTATAGTATCTAACGATATTTCAGTTCAACATTTCAGATAAAAAAACACTAAATAGCATTAATAACCTTTAATTAAAAATAGCTCAAAAAGTAACTAGAAAAGTACTTCTACTAAGAGGCAACTGGATCAGATCATAAACATAACAAGAATATTTTGTATCGTAACCATTTTGTTCCAGGTACAGGGTAGATTTAGCTGGTGAAAATTGGAAGCTGGCTTTAGCAGATGCAAAGGTCCAGGATTCTGGTGTTTATTGCTGTCATGTGTCAACACATCCTCCGATGTTGAGGCGGTACCAGCTAACTGTTCATCGTAAGTACTTATCAATTTTAATATGGCATAGGAAATTGGATCTTGTCATAAAATTGATAGGGTGCAATTTAGAAGAGAGCTTTCAAAGGTTTGTAGAAGTGGAAGTAATTACCTATTAATAGCACTTTATTTACACTGTCTTAAGTTTTATTTTGGCGTGAACTCAACTTTATTGAAGAAATCTAGAAACAAGATACCTTTTTAGCTAAGACCACAATAGTAATAAAATATTTTCCGTAAAGATGTTTTTTATTTTCGGCTACATAAACGTAACTCAATTGTTTGCCGAATTTGATATCGGAGTGACAGACTTTCAAGTTCCAAGCATCCTCTAAGGAATTAAAAGGAAATTCTAACTTCAATCGTTTTTTTACTCGCTCTTATCCACGAAGTACTGACGGTAAAAATAACTTTACGTAAAAGTCACATTCATAGATTTGTATTTATTTGTCAAGTGCACAAAATTCACAATATACAAGTCTGTCTTTTGTATGAGATATGACCGGTAAACGAGCAGATGAATCACCTGATGGTAAGCATTCTGCGTCGCCCATGGACACCCGAAACACAAGAGGCGTTACAAGTAGGTTGTCGGTCTTTTGATGATTAGGAATTTGAGGATTATTGGGGATTCCGGAATTAGGGAGATTGGAGAAGGGTGTGATTGGGCCTCCGGTAGCATCATTCGCACGAGGAAACACAACGCAAGTTGTGTTTTACGTCGGTTTTCTGTAAGGGCGTGGTATCACGCCAGTCGAGCTGGCCCATGATCATGATGAAGCATGGCTCTCCCATCCTTTAACTAACTTGTTCATATAATAATAAACGTTAATAATAATAAACGTTTATATAAAAATGATATTTGAAAACATAGGCATAGTTCAAAATTAATAATGCAATGCCTATTTTTACCAACATTGTTAAGATCCTCTTACACTATTCGTCACGTTTAATAGTGTAATAATGACCTAATTATAAATATATTAACCTTGACCCATTTATCCACAGCACCTTCAATAAAGATGAGCAAAGAGGCATTTCTGGAGACTGGAGAGACCCTATCCCTCAAATGCGCCATTCTTCATCTACATCCAGGTGATGCGGTTCCAGAGATGCACTGGTATCGAGGCAACAGCACCATCTCCTTGGATGAGATCCGAGGAGGAGTGCTTATAGAAACTGATCAATTGACTTTGACCAGTCATTTGCAGGTACCTGAAAAATTTTCTTGAAGCATGTTTTATACCTACAGTTATTTTAAAATAATAATTTACAGAAGTTAAACAGTCTAGTAACAGAACAAAAAAGACGAACTTTCACATTCCACTTAAATACAAAAAAAAAAATGGAACAAGAATAGCTCCTATTTCAATGTAGACAGTGAATAAATTGATATGGCAGATTATAAGCTAAATATCATAATTGAAATGACCAAAAAAACAAATTTCTATTTAATCAAAACGAAATCCCCACGTAACAAGTCTCACAAACGATTACTGTACAAACCTAGCCTCTGGTGTTCGTGCGAAAATACGGTTCAAGTTAATCTTATTCTCTTTTAATTTGAGATTTCAGTAATAATAATGAGTAGGTTTAACATACTAATTGAACGATTAAAGAAATTTTAAAGTTTTATGATCCATTGTAAATACCTAAATGACTGCCTCGTTGGCCGAGTGGTCGCAAGTGCGTCTGCCGGGAAAGGGTTCTCGGGTGCGATTGCCGGGTCGCGCAAAGTATTACTGGACAGAGAGAGATTTAAAAAAAAATCTCTGCACAGAGTCTGGAATTGTGCCCGATTTATGGCAATGGGACCAATAACATAAATAGTGAATAGTGGGTGTTACTTCTGTGTGCACCTCTGCCTATCCCTTCGAATACCCCGATCAATATTACCGTTTTTGAAGTATCTTATTTTTCTTTAAATAAAAACTATTTTCATCGCTCCTTCTATCCATTATTGTCTTTTATAAATTGTATTTATGCTTTTTCATCGTGCCAGGTGCTGAATGAATGATTTTTTTCTTCCTTTCTTTTCTTTAAAACCTTTCTAGTACATTTCTAATAACGGTACCATCGTAATGTTTTCAATTCCTCCCTAGAAACCTTTTACACTGAACTTCGACAGACCTGCCTACTCCGACTTGAACAAGTAACGCCTAAAATAAAACGTTTTCTGACCTCGACCCCGATTCAGCGCACCTGTAAGAAAATCTTCAGTCTTTTGTGTTTCAGGGAACATTGTTCCCTTCGAAACGAGACTTTGTAGACTTTTTTCGTCGCGTAAAATAATGTATTGAAAAAATTTGAACTTAGCAAGAATTGGAAATTGTGGTCGGGAACCTCGTATCTGTGATAAATGTGATGTAGGTATTCTAGAAAGGGACACTTTAGAGTCTAGATTAGACCCATTTAATTTATTTTCGATTCTTACTATGTCCTTTATGAAAAATATGGACTACTCGATGTACTAGATATTAATAATGGTGTTCTCAATTTATATTTTACGTAGTTATAGAGGTAATACCATTAAACAGTGCAACGGGGTAGAGTATTGTCATACGATGTATTTAATTCTAATTATTTTCTTGTTGGTTGTATAAACCATGAAAACTAGGTGTATATGTATAACCTTAGTCCCATGGGTACGTAGCATGAGATACATATATTATAGTTTAGGATAGCAGTGATTATATGTTTACTGTATACCTCTGCGTACCTCACCAAAAATAGCTAACGATGTGAGTGTTGCGTAGAACTTATTTTTTAGAAAAACATTGGCCTTTAGGTCTGCACGTAATATAAAAACTTTTCAAGTCAGTTCTTGTTTTTATAAAAGAGACAACTTTATTATTTTATTTACTTTCTTATTTATTACATCACCGTACAAAAATGGTGCGTATCTCAAAAAATCTAGTCACGAAACGCGACACCCCTGAGGAAAGTCTCCCATTACCTATTCTAAGGCAGTATAAAAATAACTAAGTTAATTCGACGTGGCCATTTTCCATTTACGAAAAGCCTGTGTGAAAGGTGTATCTTTTTGAAAATCTCATTGCTTATTTACATTTCATCAATTGTGTTTTCCAAATAGGAGGTTAAAAATATGTTGAACTGACTATATGAGGGTTACTTAGTCCGTCCCTTGGATAGGGTAATTACGTTTGTAAACGTTTATAGTCGAGAAGATAACAGAGCGCATGATATTTACCGTATGATAGGCGTCAGTAAAGTGGGGCGGTAGGGTTGTGGTCCCAGATACAGCGACTTGCAAATAATAAATCTGTCTGAACTGTTTCATTGGCTTGCTTTTTGCCGAGCTGCTGTCACGAAGCTTAGGAACTAGATTTTTGATAAGTTCTTTCATATCTGCTTGTAAATTAAGACTATAAAAGTAGACCGTTTTAACTGTCATACCTTTTCAGTTTCATATTGAATTCGACAAATACTTGAAGTTGTCTTCAGATACTATAGGTAGTTTTCGTAGGTAAAATCGCGGGTTAGGCACGTGAAAATACTGAGAAAAGCTCTCGCGTTTTTCGTTAATTTAGTATGTCTCACGAAAATTATTATAAAACTATGGTTTTAAATATTTTTAGTAATGATACGAAATCTGTATATTTGGAGTACCTAAACGATTTAAATATTTAAACACTTTAGTAGTTAGAATATACAATGAAGCAATTAATTTCGTAAATCCCAACAGCTATCATTGGCACCTAACCCGAGCTACACTTTCCAGTAATTCTACCTTCCCGTTTGGTGTAAATCGCCGCAATATATTTGCGGGCTAAAGTATAAGTGAGACTTAAATATTCTTTGCTACTTACCTACGTGAAAGGCAGGTTGTACTAAAAGCGTTATCTTAAAAAAAACACTTCAATAAAATGTTATGATATGGTCTTAACGAATCTTCGGACTTATTATTCGGTATTTCGACAGTTTTATCATTTTCAGTTTCTGTAATAAAGGTATTTCTTGCAGACTACAAATTTGCTTTATTTTAAGTTCTCGGAGCTTCGGACAATCTAACGAATTATCGGGGCTCAGACTCAAAGCAGGAGTAGAAACGGGGTGGTTTTTAAGCAGTAAGAGTCTGGCACTCCCTCTCGCCTCACTCGGGCGGGAGAAGTCATTGGATGATATTCCCCCTCAAAAACAAAACATATCAGGCTCGATTATTTGCAAGATTGTTTTCGCCTTCCCAGAGCTTCCTCTCGCCTCATCCAAGGCGGGAGAAAGTGGAGAAAGAGAGTACAATAACAATAAGCTTCAAAATATTATCTTATAATTTATTTTTGGGCATATTAAGTACCATTGGCATCTGGCACTGGCTTGCTTATAGGAAAATAGCAAATTTCAGAAATGTTTATAATTAGGTAGTAGAATATACGGGTACACCACATCCTTCAAAGATCATTAATGTAATTTGCCTAACACGTGGAGCTTGACGTAATAATTATATAGATATCTGTACCACCGCCATTATTATAATTGAGGACCTTTATTTAATACATAACAAAAAAAATAACATAACATCGCGTCTTTTATCCTCGAAGGGGTAGGCAGAGGTGTACACTTTGCCACTGTACAATGTAACACCCAGTTTTCACTATTTATATTATGAGTCCCATGTAATAGGGAGTGAGCCTATTGCCATATACCAGACGCAATTCCAGACTCCGTGGTACTACTGAGATTTTTTTAAAAACCCTGTAATACTTTGCCCGACCCTATAATCGAACGAGACCAAGGAGTCTCGGATTCGCAAGTGCGACTGCCGGGCCCTTGCCCACACCACTCGGCCAACAAGGCAACCGCCGCAGCAGTCGCAGCAGCTCTAATAATTAACAATTATATTTTGTTTATATTTTAAAACGTTACTCCACGCTAGGATTTTCTCCTGTGCCGTAGGTGGTTACAAACATCCAAGTTCACATACACTTAACACCCAGACTTGGAAAAACAATTTGTTACAACAACAACAAAGAGTTACTCTGAGCGGAAATCGGACCTGCGACACGTTGCGCGGCAGCCGGTAGCCCAGCAACCGCACCAAACGTGCGGTCTTATTATAATTCCACATTGTTCTTTGTTAACACCTTCAAGCCCTTAGCTCTTCATATTCAATCATTCGATAAGTCGGTTGCTAGCTTTCTTCTTTAGAGAGAATGCCATTTACGTTTACAAAAAATTGTTCAATTAAGTTTTACTGCAAACTAACGTAACTGTTTAACGAGATTACTGGATTAGTTTCGTGCCACGCCAGGAGCCCATAATTATGAGTTGTATGCTCGACAACGTTACATCAATCACAATATTATTGTTATTCAAAATTTTGCTCAATGTTATTCATATTTTCTGTATATAATAATATATATTATACATATGTATGTTTGAACAGTATACTTTATTACCTAAATAAATATTTTTTTCCAAGAACAAAAAGAAAATAGGCAACCTGAGCAAAATTGCTAGAATTTTCTGTTGTTTAAACAAACATAATATATTGTTAGCTTACCAAGTAATAAAATATGCGTGTTCTTAAAATTAATATACATAGTAATAATATTAAGTCGTACATACATATGGATTTTATATAATTATATGTCTGGAATCCATATGTATATTATGTTTACAAGAGGAGACTTAATTAAAGCTTGTAAAGAATATTTCAGAAATAAAGTTCAAATTTGTAATAAACATTACAATCGTGAAGATTTTTGAGGACAAAAAATTATTAGGCCTCCGGTAACCTCACTCACACAAGAAATACAACGCAAACGTTGTTTCAACGCCGGTTTTCTGTGAGGCCGTGGTACTCCCGTCGAGCCGGGCCATTCGTGCTGAAGCCTGGCTCTCCCACACTTAAAAACTTAGTTGTTGCAAAGAAATAAAGTCCTTTAAAATAATTTAAGAAATATAATATTGTCCACTGAATTTTAAATACTTAAATATACTAATCATTTTAATAAAAAAAAATAGCCATACACAGTACAAGTATTATAATTTAAGTTCATTCAGTATAGATTTTATTCCTTTAAAATAAAATTGGTTTTGCTATAACTACGCTCCAAATAACTCTTTGTAAGATAAAACATGTGTGATTTCATGTTACAACTGAAATAAAAATCTTTGAATCCATTTTTAACAATAAGTACCTTCTTCCACGAGTTTAAAGTGCAAATTCGTTCTGCAGGTGGCACGTCTGAAGGTGGAAGATGCAGGCAACTACACCTGCTCCTTGGAATCACCTGTTCAAATGAGGGCGACTACAAGAGTCCATGTGTTACAAGGTTTGTACACCTGGTCCTAAGGACCATAAAACTACGTAGAAAACAATTTGTCGAACTACAAAATCTTTGCAGTGTTGTCGGAAAAGTTTTAAGTATTTTTTGTTTTCAAGATCAGTGTTCGGATGGTGACTATTTTTAGAATGAAAATTGTTTTGAGATTTGAATTTTAATTCTCAACAATGGTGTCTAGATTTTGTATTCATTGTTCATATTCAATTTAATGCTTTGTCTATTTTATTTCTTGAAATTTGTATCCATATCTATAAATCATATCGTAAGTATTATAAATTAATTCAAATACGCAAATAACTTATCTATCACCAGTGATGTCTAAATCGATTCGAGTTAACTATATTGTATTAAATCTTTCTCAAGGAAAATATCAAACGACAATTTTATCTGTTCATCCATTTTATTATTAGCTACAAAGTAAAGGAAAAATATTTTCAGCTTATTACATTTTAACACTTGTTTTCATAAAACTGGTAATAACTAGGCACCGATCATCTTGAATCTTTTGCGCACCTGTTCCAAAAATGGTCCATAAAATAAGTCAAATCGTTAAAAATAAGTTAGTCGCAGATTTGGCACATTTTATATGAAAACGCTTTATTTGCATGAAAATGCTAAAGTAGTGAATTTTATTGCTGCGATAAAAAGTATTGATGACTATTTGATTCATGCGTCAGAACAGACAATGTAATTTTAGATTAATAACGTAAAAGAAAAAAGATGTTCTACAAGCTCGGGCTCCAGCTCGAAGTGCAGGACTACGAACGTGGTGGTTTTTAGTCAGTATGTCTGACATTCCCTCTTGCCTCACCCAGGCCGCAGAAGTCATCAGATTATTTTCCCCCACAAAAAATAAAAAGTCTTCCATGGAGGTTAGCAAAGTTCCTACAAGCTCCAGATTTAATATTTAAAGACTATACAAAAATACAAGAAAAATATTGTTTGGTACTTGTGAACATAGTATCCACTTTACAATTCAGTTTATCGAATACTGGATCGCGCAGGCAAGCTAAAACGTTCTAACAAAAGGCAACTGGAATGTACATTTTAGAAGATTAGACACCTGTGCCAAAAGTGGCCATAAAACAAACAAAGTACAAGTTAGTTGCAAGGAATTTGGTCGAGTTCCAAACAATATAGGCTTTATGCGACTTTTTGTCCTAAATGGGATTAATTCAAAAGGTACAATTGGTCCTTTGAGGAGCATTTATAAACAGTTGCGATAATCTCGTTTGTTTGTTTTTGGGCCTACCTTTATGATCTAGACAGTAAATGTGGCAGCTGATAAAATATTTTCTGGTTAAACAATAAACCTACCAAGATGTCGGCAATGCACTTGTAACTACTTAGGTGTTTCGGGCGTCTATGGGCGGCGCCGATTGCTTACCATCAAATGAAGAAATAACAACATTTACGTCATTGCATTAAATTTTATTCAAATTAAAAATGTCCAACTTGAGTAACACGTCCATGAATAATTATATACAACTTAAAATAAACATGAATAAAATAGACGATAAGAAATCAATAAAAAATAACTACCCCACCCCACTACGCGTCAAAGTACCTGTACGCATCTCTGTAACTGAGGAACGCGCGCGTCCCCAGAAAACTGGCAGCGTTACCACGTTGTATGACGATGCTTCTTTTCTGACCAAAGAAATAGCCGTCTTAAATTAGCTTTATAATCAGAACTTTAATACATTTGATAATAATAGCAATTTGCTAGCCATTATGGCTCACGAAGTATAGAAACCGAATTCAAATTTCCTCCTCCCGAATTATTCCAAACAAGGTTGCATAAGCGCCGTCTTAGCCAAAGGCAGGAAGACAATATTACGACTGCAATATTGAAGATGATATAATAAATATACTATGTTCCATGCTAGTCTCATCGTTTGGTATTCGGTCTTCAAATCCCTGTACAGACTTTTTTGGGATTAATATACTAAGTTAACCTACTTTTCGAAGACAAGTGTATTAATAATATAAACTAAAATAAAATAAATACTAACTATTACTTAAGAGACACTAAACCTAATGGAAAATCAATACATAGTATAAAACAAAGTCGCTTTCGCTGTATGTCCGTATGTATGCTTAGATCTTTAAAACTACGCAACGGATTTTGATGCGTTTTTTTTAACACGTTAAACGCCATGGCAGTCACCGGTGACCGACATTAGCGGAGGATTTGCCTTCAACAGTTTTTTATTGGCAGCCAATGCCTTAATAGATAGAGTGATTCTTAAGGAAGGTTTTTATGTATAATACATGCATATTGCACCCGTGCGAAGCCGGGGCGGGTCGCTAGTATTAAATAAAAGAAAACTAAAAATTACTCACTTACAGAGAGCATCAAAAAACTTGTCCGCATCCCGGTCCGGAAAGTACCCGGAAGGCTGGCAGCATTGCCACGTTGTATGGCAATGCTTAACCTCTGAGCGAGAAACAGACCAGCCCTTTGATCTGAAAATGCGTAGACCAAGCGTTTTAAAATATTTTTAAATAATAATACTTAATACTAAAGTAAGTTATGCCTTTCAAAAAAGTTACTATACTTAAAAAAAAATACAATATTATGTTCCATGCACTCATTTATAAACCTTAGCTAACAACAGACTCAATATCAAATAAACAATGCGTATCAAGGAATTAAACACAATTTTCGCTACTAAAAGACAAAGACGACAGGATAACAATCGCAGCCATTTATTTCTTTGACTCTAAAGACCGACGGAAAACACCATCTGAAACCAGAATTCACGCTTACAAATGAGAACTACAAGGTTTCATGTTCTGCAGTCTCAGTGCACCTGTACCTGGATTGAGTCATAAAGTATTTTTATGCTCATGTTCACTGAATACTACTGCATATAACCGGATAGTATTACTGCGTTCCTTACTCAATGTATCTCATCTTTTTCTTATATCTTTCTTTAATGTATCACGATGAAATTCAAGTAAATCTGACTTAGGTTGATTGAAATATTATTCATCACTCACCGTTGAACGAAGGCCTCTTCTCGCACGGAGAAGGTTTTTGCATTTATTCATCACCTAGTTTGCTCAAGGCGTATTTGTAAAATGATGTAACTATATTTTAATGTAATTTTATCTCCTTAATTCGTTTTTTTTTTGTTAATTTATATTTACCAGTTATTCTTAACATTTGCATTGTATTATATCTTTCACCTTCTTCATACTTGACAGTCGGTTAGATTTTTCTGCATCATTGAGGTAGTCCAGAAATATTCTAAACTCAATAATTTTAATGTAAGATAGAATAAACCGACAAAAAACTTGTTTATCTTTAAAATCCCTTCCAATAAATAGGCTGAATGGTGTTTAAGAATTATCTACATCTAACTTTAAAACCAGAATATTACCATCAAAGGCTCCTAAAATTAAATTTACTAAAACTACACCTGAGCGCTAAAAGCAAAAACGAGTTGACATTTAAAATTCAAGACCGCAGATGAACAAGATGTCACGCCTTGCATTATTTAAAACTTTGTTAGTTCACAAAAAACGTACAACGAAAATGGTTCATCGAAGTCATTAGTACGTAGAATTCTAAGCTTAATGATGTTTTTAATGCTATGTAAATTTTGGCTCCAGTAAATTCAACCTTAGTGCTTCCTAATTAAGATTGTCATTTATAACCAGCAAGTTGGTAATACCATGCCATTTAGTCAGTCTAATATACAACTGGTATCTGTTTAGTTTAGGAAGCTTGTTCAAGTTATAATTTCCTTTAAGATTGTTTTGTTGGGCGACTGGTTGAAACACCATTGCAAAATTTGGCGTCTTGGATCTGTTTCTTGAATTAATAAGAGGTTTACAGATTTTGACAATGTTTAAATTCATAATTCAGTTAAAGAGTCAGAGCTGACTTACCCAATTCTGTTAGGCTAACGACTCACGGCGCGATCTTGTCACGCACCTGCCGCGGTGGCGGAATTGAGGCGTAATTTTCAAAACTCACGTGACCGCCGTTTTTTGCAATGTCGCAGTCGCCGCGCTTGTGATAATCACTCGCAAACTTGGCGGTGTCGCCAATAGCAAGACGAGCGGTTAAACAATCTGTTGACTTCCAGACCGGCCCTCTTAATGCGATTGGACGCGGCAGAAAATCGCACCGTGAGTCCTTAGCCTTAGGAATCCCCGAGCGTACGGCGCGTCGCGTTCCGCGCGCGCCTCAAAGAGCCATCACACCACCACAGATGGGGCCCAATAAAGCCGGTGCCGATTCGGAGTCGCGGAGAACCTAACGGATAACCGGGGCTCCGGCTCGACGTGCAGGAGAAGGAACGGGGTAGTTTTTAGTCAGTAAGAGTCTGACACTCCCTCCCGCCTCACCCAGGCGGGAGCAGTCATTCGATGATTTTCCCCCCTTCAAAAAAAAAAAAGCCTTAGGAATCACTTTGTAATAGTCGAACTAAAACCATGACTGACAAAAAACTACTTAACATTTTCAATAATTAACGGTTCCCATTATGTATCTACTAACTACATTCAATATCAATAAAACGGGGTCAGTAGTTCAGAGGGTTCCATCATAAATAAAGGATAGTTCACAAAAGTTTAGAAAGTACACAATATTTTTGAGTAATTCGTAATTACTCACGCGGCGCTAAATGGGTTAATAGAGTTTCTATAATTAAGGATATCTTAATTTATGTTCATTGACATAGGTAGCTAGTAAACTACAAAAGATATATTCCTTTCTTTTCAGTCTTCAAAATAACAAGACAAAGGAAACAACTGTTTACACATAATATTGTTGTAACCTATAAAGTGTAGTATGAATAAAAATAAAAGACCCACAATTTTAGTCTACTCTAGTTCACGAACAAAGAACTACGTAATAAGAGCGGTATACAACTTGCTTAAGACTGCGTTTTCATTGAAGAGCTAAGCGGAACATGCAGAAATAAATAAATCAAATCAATTAAACAATCAAATCATATTTATTTGTTTAAACA